ATTCCCTGATATTCTTCGTATTTTCTCTCTCTTCCTCCAAAATTTCTACATTGTCAGAATTCAATTCATGTCCATAGTTGTTATCCACGTGTATTGAGCAATGAGTGATGAATTGTTGTGAGTGACGTTTAATAGCCAATTGGTGTTCATGTAGATGTAGGCGAAAAGGCCGACCATTTTGTCCAATGTAGTGTATTGACTACAGTTAGCTATTGCAGCTGATTTTGTGAATGATATTCGGTTTGTCTCCTTTGGTATTTTGAGGGAATTTGTCAGTTTGTATGCCACACCGATTCCCCCAAGTGGTCTCAGTAATCTTGTCGTCACTACTGATGGAAAGGTCAGAGGTTATGCAAAGGAACAACCAACAGGAGCATGTATACAACCAATGACACAATAATCAAAGGAAACAATCAATCACAAAATAGTTGGTCAGGGCAAGCTACTAAATCACTTACGGAGAGATATTGACAACTGAGGATGGTGTTTTTTGTAGAAAGACGTTGAAACCTTTACGATTAAACAACCTAGCTCATAGAATGGAATACAACCAACCCTGTGATTGTTTATCACTCACCTTCTTCTATCAGTCATCTTCATCGTGTATCTCAGCAACCAACCATATGATATCCAGTGGGTAATTCGTTTGGATGACCCATTCTTACTGAAGATTAATCATGATGTGATAATCTGAGCGATTCAGTCAATGACTTCATTGTGACTAATTGATACATGGATCTGTTGAAACTTCTATTCATCCATCTTGCTGGTTACTAAGTATTCACAAACACTAGATCTAATGTAGTCGACAGTTTTCAACTTCTATATTGGTCTTATTATCCTGATGTTTGAAATCATCGGTTCTGGGTTCGAGTCCTAGTCGAAACAAGATTGATTAATCATAAATAGGACGAAATAGATGTCCTAGATTCTATTGTTGGCCACTAGTCATCATTACTTTCCAAACTGCACTGACCTGACACTATACATATATCAGGTAATAGTCTTACTAAAACAAGAATATAACACCCCCATAATAAGTGTAGTGTATTTACTACTACAAGAATCAACATAAGCACAACATGTCCGAACTTGAACATTAAATAATAAATTGACTACCTATTCCACGGTTTGGTTTTGTGCTCTTTTCTCTCTCTCTCTCTCTCTGTTCTGCTGTGTCTACTACTCTCCTTTGAACTGTATAGGGTAGATGGATATACACAGACTCATGTGTTTGGCTTGATTATGCCTGTATATATTTTTTTTGCCTCGTTTCTATGCTTAACATGTCAGTAAATTGTCAAAATTGTCAGTAAAGAGTCAAGACGAAAAGACGCCCCCCTTTTTATATCTAGACAGACATAAAAAGGAAAAAAAACTAGTAATCATTATTGGTATACGCCTTATTCTTTAAATGTCTGACTATACACACACACACACACACATGGATAGTGACTAATTCAAATGACTACCAAGAATGTTTATAATCGAGTGTCGTATTCTAGAACACTGATATTGCCACTGCTGATGCTACTGTTACTGCTGCTGGCTAGCTGGCTGGCTTCACGATATTACTACAGATGGCCATGACGGTGCGCATGTGTGTGTGTGTGTGTGTGTATGGACATGACGGTGACAACCTGGGGGTATAATATCAGCCAAATACCGTTTTTATTATTAAAATAAAATCGAAAAAATATACTGCGGCGTTTATTATCGTCATCATCATCATCATCATCGGTGTTTGTAAAGTGTATTTATCAACACATTAATAATAATCACTGTGATTATGGACCGTGTTTTTATTCAGGCTTCTTCTTAGATGAGTAATCTGGACAAAATAGTATTCATATTATTATTATTATTATTATTACTAAGTCTAAAATCAGATTATGTGAAATTGGCGTGGCTTTAAATGTTTTTCTGATTTTACAAGAAAAAAGTGTTTCTCTCAGCCTGTACAACTGTCCCGCCCCCCCCCCCCCCCCAACGTCTTCTATCCTTACCCTCATCATCTCTTCTTTTACTGATCAAACCTGATATCAGAATATCATTTGACAAGTAGTAAATGACCAATAGATGGGTGTTTCTTGGAGAAAAAAAAATTTTTTTTTTTACTGAATATGAAAATGTTTAAAGTACATTTTGTAAGTTTTAAGAGTTTTAGCTAATTTTTGGTAATGCTAAATGGTCGCCGAGGTGGGGGGGGGGGGGGTTGATGAGTCTCAAAAGTCGATAGCTTTTCATCAAAATTCCATAAAGTAAAATGTATAAAAACACTATATACAGTAAAAACTGACATTGACTTGACTACAGACTTCATAAAAGATGCAAAAACAAGCTGAAAACCTCTTATTGAATATTATTTCCGATGAAAAAGATTACTCCACCTTGCGATTCATGAACTCTGACTATCATATAGAGACTGTTGGCTTTATACATAATACTGAGGAGTGTTATTTGGGGACGAAACAGCTACATGATAATTGGTGTATAACTTCCACTGTATTTTTGAGATGAATGGGGATTTTTAATTTAGAGATAGTATTCACCATAGACGTGTCTCATGTCACACAAACTCGAAGATCTACACGCGAAAACTAACAAGTTGACAGAAAAGACACGGCAGCGAAGGAAGATGGGACTTCAAGTGATTGTAGAGAAGACAGAGATGATGAAGATACCCAACCAACACCATCAACAACGAAAGAAACGTAAAGGAAGTAGTCTCTTTCACCCACCCTTCTAGGCAGCATCGCTTCAACTACATGTGGTGGCACAGACACAGACGAGGACATGAAAGCTAGCCAGGATCGGAAAGACAGCAAGATAGGTGTTGATTAACCTGAAAGCAGTGTGGAGATCTTCTGAACTCCACTTCATTCAGCATGAAGTGTGAACAACATGTGGATTTTCAACAGGAATTCAGTCAAGTCAGTGTATGTGTATGGTTCAGAGACTTTGTGTGTCACGAAAGGGATTTCCAACAAACTACAGACATTGATTAACAACTGCCTACTCTGCTTCGTTGCTGAAGATTAGATGGCCATAATAATAAGAATAAGCAAGTAGGAACTGAGGTTGGCTGGAAACGAACCAACCAAAAACCTATCGCTGAACAAATATGCAGTGGGAGGAAGTGGAGATGGATTGGATTGGGCATACACTGAGAAGACCATTCGGGGACGTCATGCGACAGGCCAGGCACTCGAGTAGGACCCAGATGGGAAACGGCGAGTCGTGCGTCCCAGCCGAGAGTAATATAGAGGAGATGGTGTGAGGAAGAAATCATAGTTTGTGGGCAGTGGTGGAGGGAGGTTCAAAAGACTACACAGAAGAGAGTGTAATGGAGACGTGCTACTGAAGCCGTATACTCCACTAGGAACCCAAGGGACAAACAATAATAATAATAATAATTCACTATAGACTGATATCAGTTCGGGAACCATTGGAAATCTGGGAGCACTGGATAGCTGTTTTGTCCTAGTATGCGACTCTTCAACAGTACGCACCCATGACCCGGCTAGGGATAGAACTGAGGACCTTCAGGTTTCACGACGAATGCCTTAACCCTTCAGTCACTCTGTGTCGGTTTTCAGTGGTTCACAATTTCCAACTTCTTTTAATTCACAATATACAGTGACTATCATCCAAGGTCTTCAGTGGCTGAATGGTTAACGCTTTTGCCGTGAAACCTGAACGTCCTGAGCTCGATCCCTAGCCAGGTTGTGGGTACGTACTGACAAGGAGTCTCATACTAGGACAAAACATCTGTCCAATGCTCTCAGATTTTCTATGGTTCCCCGACTGATGTTAGTCCATAATGAATACTAGTTCTTTATATTCAGACTGTGTTTACTGCTGATGAAAAGAACAAAGTGAAAGGATCTATAAGCAGGCTATTAAACATTCTAGTAAACTTCAGATACGAACGAACATTGAATATTGAACAATAGTTACAGAATACCACAACTCAGACATTACTAGACAACCCAACAACACAGTCAATATCAGTTTATTAACACTTGTGATTTCCTGTTGCTATTCTGGGTTGAATTACTGGAATGGTGTTGGTAGATGAGCTCCTATGGAGATACCTTGATATTGTTTAGATATTCATTTTTCGTGGTCTACTCACTGGCTAGCGGTGGAATCTAGAACGTGCTTCTCGTCCTATTTACGACTTGTCAGTTAGATGTGAGTAATATTGTTTCCACTGGAAGCGGAACCCATCGCTTCGAACGTCAGAGTGTTATTCACTAAGCCACGGGGGGCACGAGAGTAACTTCTTATCCAAGGGGTATCACGTGTAGACAATAAGTGTTCAGTACCCGCTTAACTCTGATCATACAGGTCAACGTTTCACTATCCAACTTAATTATTATTATTTGCCCCTTGGGTTCCTAGTGGAACATACGGCTTCACTAGCACGTCTCCATTGAACTCTGTTCTCTGCAGTCTTTTCAAACTAGCTCCACGGCTGCCCACAAGCTTTCATTTCTTCTTCACACCATCTCCTCCATGTCACCGTCAGCTGAGACGCCCAACTCATCGTTTCCTGTTTGGATTCCAGTCGACGACTTGGACTGTCGCGTGATGCCCCCAGTCGGCTTTCTCAATGTATGCTCAGTTCAATCCATCTCCACTTCCTTCCACTGCTTATTTGTTGAGCAAAAGGTTCTTGGTTGGCTCGTAGCCAGCCAACCAGAGTTCCTTCTTGCTTATTCTTATCTAATCTTCAGTATGGAGTGAGCGTAGGTGGCAGCTGTTGATCAATGTCCTTAGTTTGTTGGAAATCCCTTACGTAACTCGCCAAGTCTCTGAATCATATAGAAGGACTGACTTGACTGGCATTCGTGTTGAAAATCTGAATCTTACTCTCTATCCAACTTGGTCACCTTATAAAGTGTATGAATTTTATTTATATTTCAATGATTATTTGTATACCGGTTTCATTTCATTCGGTTTTTTTATTTATTTTCTTTCTGTTGAAAAAAAAGGAATTTATCGATTTATCATGGAACATTTTCCATATTATCGAGATAATCGTCAAGGTTGGCAGAATTCAATACGCCACAATTTAAGCTTGAATGATTGTTTTGTTAAACTGCCAAGAGATAAAAGTAGACCAGGGAAAGGAAATTATTGGACTTTATCAACAAATGCAGATGAAATGTTTGAGCATGGAAATTATAGGTGAGATTGGTTTTGTGTGTTTGTGTGTGTGATTGTAAACAGTGTTGTACTGTGTTTTGTTCTAGCCCCCCCCCTACTTCTTCACTCTTTCAGTGAATGGTGTAACCAGTGTAGTCATGTACAGTAGACCTGAGTACTTTGACCAAGAGTTTTGCCGATGTGAATACCAAGTTAGTTGTATGACCTAGCCTTGTGATTGGTTGGATTCAACCTTGAACAAGTGTGATTATCACAATTCAACTGTCTGAGATAGCCCCTTTTTGGCAGACTTGTATTGTTGATACTGAGTGATGATTGATGGTGTAATGATAGTTTGAACAGCGGGAAGATTTGAACCAGCGGCCTACGAGTTACTGGTCTGATGCTCTACTAAGTGAACTAAGAAACCCGGCTGGTAACTCATAAGTAACCTTTAGGTCTCTGGTTCGAACCCTGTCGTGTTCTATGTCTTCATTCCATCTTCAGTCAAAATAATAATCCACATGATGCTCCCCTCTTTCTTATTCAGTTAGATTTTGATTGAGATGAGATGAGCTGACATAGCAATCAGATTAAACCCTTGATGACTGAAGTGAAGCTTTGGAGGTCATTCGGTAGATCACAAGGCGGTAAAACCGTAGGTCTCTGGTTCATATCCTTCCATGGTAAGGTAGTATTTATCATCGAATGACTAACATCATCTGGGAAATGAGTGACAACCTAGGAGCACTGGACAGATGTTTCGTTCCAGCATATGGTTCCTCAGTTGCACTCAGAAGATCGAACTCACGACATTCAGGTCTCACGGAGAACGCATTCACCATCCAGCCATCAAGTCAGGGTTCAGTGGTCCACAGATTCCTACCTCTCTCAATTCACAACATAAAGCGTCTATTCACCAAGATCTTCAGCTGATTTCCACACCACTTTCGACTTGGATAACCAACTGATATGGTTATGATGATGATCACAGAAAGAGATATGTACAATTAGATTGTGAACTGGTGGCTGAATGCTAGTGTGGTCGCCGTGAAATCTAACAGTCGTGGTTCCGATCCGACATGGGTTCATAAGTGTTTTTTGTTGAAGAGTCCCATACGAAAACGAAACAGCAGTTCAGTACTCTCAGGTTTTCACTCATCATGTGAGCAATGCTGAGGTTAGGCGAATGACACTAAGCAAGGAAAGCTAGTCAGTAGCTTAAGTTGTGAACTTTAACCGACTAAGATGACTTGAATATGTGTTGTTCATGCTGAAGCACCGCCTACTTTCATGCACAATGTTAGCTGAGGTAAGATTTGGTTAAACAAAGGTCAACCATAATCATACTGTAGTGGACGTTGCTGATAATAATGGATGTAAGTAGTATGTGTCGAGAGGTTGACAGAAACCATAGGGAATTACCAACAATGGGTAAGAATTCTGTCAAGAGACACTCATGAGGCAATGCGGGGGTTTTAAGAGCAAAGCAAGGTAGAAGGAGAAGAGGAAATGCTGCACATTATACAAATGACTGTTTTAGAGCAAGGTGAACCCTGTTTCAAGACTGCTATACCATTCGTTTCATTCAATACGAGCAATTGGTATTCGGTCGTTGTCTTCAATTGTTTATTTAAGCCCTGGAGAGAGGTACAGATTGCCTGGATGATAGATATCCTGGGGAAGAGAGGGATTCAACGAATAGATATACTCGGTGATATATCTAAACATCCATTACAGTTACGCAGAGTTTACACCCCTTTAACATTTTGAACATTTTCTGGATCTGACATCTGTGTCTATCTGCATGTCAGAATGATGAATCTTATTAAGGACGAAATTTCATCAGATATAATGTATCATCTCTGACTATCTCAGATAATAGCTGTGGTTTGGCAGACTAATATGTACACTAGGTGATGACTGAAGGTGAGATGAAAATTTGGACCGTGACCGGATTCGAACTAGCGACTACCGAGTTTTCGACCCGATGTTGTATTAACTGACTCGCGACGTCCAACTGTTGACCAGTATCAGTAATACTAGTCTACCAAACCACGGTTACCTCATTCAGATAGTCAAAATGATGATCAATATAATGCTCCCCCTCCTCTCTAATTCACTTAGATTTGGGTTGGGATGAGAAGTCCTGACTAGGCAGCCAGTGTCAAGCTATAGTAATGCATCATGAATTCACATGGTAGTCAGGCAAATTCTCTTGGTGACTGAAGTGAAATAAAATCTAGTTAGTAGTCGGATCTCGTAGCTCAGTCGGTAGAGCTTCGTATAGGAAACTCCGGTGGCCGCTGGTTTGAATCCGGCCGCGGTCCAAATTTTCATTTCATATAGTGAAGAAACAGTATCACCGACTGGATAATGAAGTTTTCGACATGATCTATTGTCTTTGATCATACTAAGTTACCCGATGCCCGTCACCTGTCTAACGTTTGAAGCAGTCGGTTCTTGGTTCGAGTCCCGGTCACAGCAACATCACTCACTAAGAAGCAGGTGCATTTAGCTGACGACTGAGTCCTCGATTCCAGTGGTAGCCACTATCCACCATCACTATATCCGAAACGTTATCCAGTAGAAGTTGGACGATAGTCTTTGTGTTTCAGCGTATCTCTAATTGTTGTTTTGTGCAACACACTATACTAGATTGAATAAGTGCACATAAGATAGAAGTTTTTTCAACTTTGTGATAAAATCAGCTGAATTTCTGAAAAATGTGAGTGACTTTAAAGACCACCGTAGCAACAAATGAAATAACCAATTAGGTGAGTATATTTCGACTGGTAAGGAAGATTTTCATAAAGTAGAGAAATCTGATTGGTCAATTTAAGTGTTGTTTGAGGTGGCCATTAAAGTCACTGAAAATCTTTCGACTAAAATTAGTATACAGCCTAGTAACCTATGTACAGTTTTGTATCATTAATAATGTGGTCGATGTGTGTATACTGATTCACTGTTGTGTCATGGTTGGTTTACAGCTGCTTTAGAAACCAACCGCTGACCAGTGTGAGTAATAGTAGTCTACTAAACTATGGCTATCTCATTTAGATAGTCAAAATGGTAATCATTATGATGCTACCCCTCCCCTCTAATTGATTTAGGTTGATTTGGAATGGGATAAAAAGTCGTGACTGGTTAGTCAGTGTCAATACATACGGTCAAGCGGTAGTAACATGTCATGAATTCACCTTGGTAACTGAAGTAGGATAAAAAGAATCTGGTGAGTAGTTGGACCTTGTAGGGTTAGCTTCAATCATCATCCTGCATAGTTGTTGTTTATTAAACTTCAAATTTCATGATAATCTTTATTCATATGTATATGGTTAATTTTTATCCTTTTGTAAATCACTTGATAGACGTCGAAAAAGGCGTAATAAATCGTCAGTTTTTTCAGCATCAACGCAACCATTGTCGCCATCATTAGATAGTCAACGAGATAGATCATCTTTAACTATTTCAAGGTTATCAAAATTTATTAATCTGTCTAATGAAGTAGTAATACTACCAACAGAATGTGATATAAACTCATCTGTTTCGTCGATATCTTCATCATCCTCATCATCCTCATCATCGACAACATCGTCAACATTAAGAATTCCAATCGATCAAACTGTTAAACAACATTTATCCAATTGTCGTCAATATACACCAGAAACATCTGTCATACACAATGAATATGCATATCCTAATAATAATAATAATAATAATAATAATAATAATAATAATAATAATAATTTATCATATGAAAACTTTACACGTTCAATAAACTGGTTTAATAATCAACAGAATACTAATTATACTCAACCATCATGGACTACTGATATTGACAATTTAAGTAGTTATAAAAATCATCAGTCAATTATGCGTCATTTACCTTCAACTATCAAATTATATCCAAATCTCTCCAATAATAATAATAATAATAATAATAATAATAATAATAATAATAATAATAATAATAATAATAATAATAATAATAATAATAATAGTGGGAATCAATCCGATGAATGTATAAACTCATCTATACCAATCTGTTTACCAGATTTTTCAATTCAATCTTTAATTGGTAGTGAACAGGCGACAAACAGCTGTCAGTGCCTAGAAGAAGTTATTCACAGTTGAAAGCTTATGATAAGAAGACAAGACTCTACTGTTCAATAACCATTCTCTTTGTATTACACACCTATACATACTTGTTCACTTTCTATTGGTGTCTGTGTGTGTGTGTGTGTGTGTGTGAATGTTGTGATTATCTTACTATTCTGTGATCTAACTGATATTGTGTCACTGTTAACCTCTCCTATTTGATTTGTCTCTCCTCTTCTCTCTTGAGTTCCAGTCATAATATAGAGAAAACGCTGAGTCTTAAGAGGGTGGTGTATTTCGTTCGCTTCAGTCCTCTTTACAATACCATCAATACAATAACCACAACTGCCAGTACTATTCCATAATAAAGCAAACTTTGTAAATGTACGATTTAGCTAATTTTCACCTTCTTATTCTTCGTCAGCAAATTTGTTTATGATGATAAAAATAGCATTTTTAAGTTGATGAGTAGTCTATTTTCTTTTTGGTTTGATCCCGTTGGGTACTAGTCAAGATATGCAAGTCTTATGTGCTAGGGATGTCAAGCTACTATGATGGCAAGATGTGTCACTACTTCATGAAGTTTATAACAGTTGATTTTTATTCGTGTAGGCGGGAGGATGTAAACAGCCTCGTGGGAGTCCCTAAGATGATAAGAATCAGTGATTGAACACTCTTGATGAAATGGCTGAAAATTTATGGCTAGCAATGGAATCTAGGATGCACATTTCGTTCTATTTGGGACTCATCAGCTGAATGTACCTGTCTCAATAGGACTCGAATTTGGGACCGACCGCCTTATCCATTAGACCAAGGAGCCATCATAACCACTCCTTGTGACACGAGTATAGGTTTAATGTTGTTGATTGGACCAAATTGATCAGTCTATATTGTGATATGGGTTCCTGCGCGGGTGCCTCGATATTGCCTGTGTTTCTACTGCTAGCCAATATCCGTCATAATTTTGTTTGTCCTTTGGGTTCCTAGTGGAACATACGGCTTCACTAGCACGCCTCCGTTGCACTCTCTCCTCTGCAATCTTTTCAGCCTTACACCACGATTGCCTATAACCTTTCATTTCTTCTTCACATGATCTCCTGCATGTCAACCTCAGCTGAGACGCCCAACTCATCGTTTCCCGTTTGAAATCCAGTCAGGGGACTGGCCTGGCATATGATGTCCCAGAATGGTGTATGTTCAATCCAATCCATCTCCACTTTCTTCTGCAGAGTTCCTTGTACCTTGTTCCAAGTACTAGATGTTGTTGCCCATTCCTATATATGGGCCAATTACTCTACGTTCTAGTCGACTGGTCCAGTTAGTATGACAAAATAAATGGAAACAAATGAGAAGTGTGTACAATGATCTTTGGTAATGAAAAAACATCATAGACCAACAAGGTTGAAAATGACACTTTGATTGGTAATTATCGATAACATTTCAGTCTGTGGCGATAAAACTGGCGGTGGATAAAAGCATCATATAAAAAAAGACGTTTAATAGTATAATATGTCTGCGAATTATGGCAGATTTTCAGGGCATTTCACCAGCAGTGGTATTGTCTTGGAGACCTCAGCTAGATGGGACTGGTGCCACGTCTTTGTCTAGCCATCCTGAGCCCCGTTCCCCGTGAATCCGAATTCACCTAACATTCCACTTTGAAGTAGCTGGTGGGTCAGTATGCTCATTACATATCCATGACACCCCACTCGATAAATGTTCACAGTTTCATCAATCGACTTTCCCGCATTTCTTGCCGATTATTCTTCACATGATCTCAACATTTCTGACACAATGATTCCACCACATGCGAGCAATAATATGCAGACGTCGGAGATCATGTCTTCTACTGTTAACGGTGATATCTCACAGCGAAAAAAACAGGATATAACAGACTACAGTGGAGTATACTCATCGTTTGCTTGGTAGTCAGATATCTTGTCAGTCAGTGCCACAAACGACATAACCTAGCAAATACCAAATGGGACTTATGTATCCACGCTTAAATTTCGTCAGCAACCAACCGGTTCAAGCTGATACAAATCCTCAAGTAAGTGAAGTGGTGGACGTATTCCACTACTTTACTCACTATCAATAAACTGGGAGTACTTTCAGCAGTCTTACATACTTAGATTCCTGTTCATCACGTTCACAACATTGTGCATTTTATCAATATCTTCACCTAGCAGGATAATATAGTCTGCATACTGCAAGTCAACCAGCTGACCTTCACGATTAAATCAATCCCTGTGAAGTTAGATCATCAAATCGCTCACATTACACAAGTAATATGATTTACGTATGCACATCTGTTACTAGAAACTGTCTGGGTTCTCTGTAAGTCTCAATGAGTATTAACCTTCATCAAACTGTCGTTAATTTTAGATAACTGATCAAGTTAAATACACTTTCAAAGGTGTCATTCATTCAATGTCTAAGGAAGAATAGTCACTCACTCTTCATTATTCTAATGAAGAGATTGTTGTAGGTAGTGATAAGATTCTATGATACAGTAATGAATGGAGAAAGTATACATAAATCAATACACCGTATTTAAAAGTGATTGATTCTTCGAAATGATAACACTTGTACTACTAGTTGTTATCCGACTATAGAATTCTTCTCTTAAGAAACTGAGGATAATGAGAAATTTGAGTTTAACGTCTTGCTGAAGAGAGTCATCCATCCATCCAAATCAACTTATGACCAGGCATTATTACGTAACAGTTCGAGTTGCCACACCTCATATCAGTACATCAAGTAAAAAGGCTGTGAGGCGCAAAATGAAGATAAGAGAATGCAGTCAAAAGAAATATAAAGTACGAGAAGAGACAAAGGAGGAATGACAAAATGGTGAGATTCGGTATAGTGTCGTTAAGATGAGGATAATGTGTGTGTGTGTGTGTATACATCTGCGCCACTCACATCCGTTCTGAGCCACACCATCACCTAGGGTCTTCAATCACTGCTTCCTCTTGTCCCGCAGACCCCAACCAACTAGTCTGCATCGCCCCACATGGCTCAAACAAACAGTCAGAGACTTCATGCATTGGTGACATGTTATAGTCTGGTCACCTCAGGCCTTTTTCCAACCTGGGCTTACTTCGGCCAACATTGTGTGATGAGGCTATCGGTGACTAGGCATACCTAACACTTGTCCCAACCATCTTAGTCGATGAAGGTTCACAACCATGTCAACCGACTTACCTCTTCTCCCGAAAACTCTACACCTGACTTCTGCATTACTCACGTGGTGACACCACGCAATACGGCATATACTATGAAGGCAACGGTGGTCAAACACCTGGAGCCAGCCATCTCATGTCTTCCACCTTCAATAGTCATATTTCACAGCCATAGAGTAGAACAGAGTGGACTGGTGTGGAGTACACGCCACCCTTAATAGACAAACGGATATCACGGTGGCACCATAAGTTGGGTAAGTTGGTGAAAGCCTGTGGAGCCTTTTGTATCTGTGCAGAGATTTCGTCGGCCACTGAGCCATCAGGGCTGATCCTACTTCCCAGGTAAGTGAATTGGTCGACGCATTCAGCCACTACACTGTATATTGTTAGCCACAGTGGGGCACCGTTGAAAATCAATCGTGGAGCAACAATTTGCATATGGGTGGTGAGAAACGCATCCCAATCATTCTCAAATTGCCAGTCAAAGTGTTCAGAAGAGTCTGAATCTTGTCAGTGTCTTCACCTAAGAGGACTGACTATGTGATCTGCATATTCTAGGTCTAATGAAAATTCTCCTGTGAATAGGTCAACGTTTGTGTAATCAGGTGACAAGAGGGAGACCTCTATGAAAATATGTATGATAAAATTGAATAAGAATGGAGAGAGTACCTGTCGTTGACGGACACCACTCGATGAGTACAGCTCACCTGACATCTCATCAGGAAGTGTGAAGGTCATAGTAGTCAGTTTTTCTTATTATTTTCTTCAAACCAGTTAATATCAGATGGTGTTCACAAACATAATATCATCTAGACTAGAGATTAGATTGCTAAAAGGCAGTTCTTGCCTGTATGAATCGGTAGGCATTAGGAATTGTTTGATTATATAACAATAACCCAGTTATATAGGGAATTTTAAGAATTGGAGTTGTTCTTTTGCATAACTGGAAACTGAGAAGTAATCAAAACCAGCTTTTTAGGCTAGGTAACCTTTTCAATAGTATGATACTTAGTTAAGACAAGAGCATGAAATTCACATCGTAAACACGTTAGCAGTCAATTTTTTCTTAACAGTTCACTGGTCAGTATTCTTCAGCTGTAGATGACTCATGGTAAGAGAGCTGTTCATCATTTAATTTTCAAAGTACAACAACTTATGAAGGTCATCCTCCAAAGTTAACATGGAAATGAAGATTATCAAAACAGGATGGTCCGTTTTCTTCACAGAAATAAAATGTCTTATTAGCTTTTTAAATGGAATTGAACTCATTTACACTTTGTATCATACCAGCCTCCAATCTCATTCATCCTAACACAGAAAAAAACTGAGTTCGTAGCAAAAGATATGAATAATCAACTGGCTAGTCAAAGTTAAATGAAGGTCATTTACCAACCAATCAAATTTTTCCCTATCGGTAGCAGGCTTACGTTATGACCTTCGTTTCATATGGACAGGCTGAAGATAATCGTTATCATGACCTTGAAAGTGCCTTGTGTATTGGACAAAGGCAAAATTTGAATCTCATTAGTACATAGTATCGGAGATTCAAGAAGATTTGTTTATAATTACTATATTTTAAGATTTTCTCAGCTTTGATCAAGGTTTTTTTGTATTCTTGAAGAAGTGATGTTAAATTAAACAGTAATGGAGTAGTATAATTAGTCTGAATGAAGTCAGTGAATTACTACGGTTTTCGACACCAGACAGGGAACACCTTATCAGTGGAAATCCTACTTGACTAGGAAACCACCAAGTTAAGTGTTGATCCTGTATGCCTAGAAATAATCTCCTTGAGGGTATAGATCTAGAAGCGATTTGTTGCTCTACCTATTCATAAAATGTATTTGAAACTTCAGGAAATATATTATATTCATATTATCTATCCCTTGGGTTCCTAGTGGAACATACAGCTTCACTAGCACGTCTCCATTACACTCTCTTCTATACAATCTTTTCAACCTAACTCCACCACTGCCCACAAGCTATCATTTATTCCTCACACCATCTCCTCCATGTCACCCTCACCTCCAATGCCCAACTCGTCGTCTCCCATCTGGGTTCCACTCCATTGTCTCATCTGACGCGTGATGTCCCCAATCAGTCTTCTCACTGCATGCCCAATCCAATCCATCTCCACTGCATATTTGTTGGGTGATAGGTTTTCGGTTGGTTCGTTGCCCAACCTGAATTCCTCCTTGCTTATTCTTATTATTCTCGCCATCTGATTTCCATCTTCAGTATCGAGTCAGTGTAGGCAGCAGTTGTTGATGAATATCTGTAGTTTGTTGGAAATCCCTTTCATGACGCGCCCCCAAGTCTCTCAACCACCACACAGAAGTACTGATATACTTGACTGAATTA